GAGTTTCTTAATCGTAATACTGATAAACATTATGATTACTTTTTTATTTTATAAAATATATAGACAATAGTTTGTTTAGACAAGCCTTGGCTCGATCTTCGATATCATGATACTAGTAAAACATCGATAAAAAAACCTGCAGAATTAGAAAATGAATTGCAACAACCAATAGGTCCAATTGATCCTGAACTTTTAAATAAAATTCAAGGATCAATAGTAGGAATGGCATTAGGCGATGCTCTTGGTGCACATGTTGAATTTCGTCCTCGTCAATATTTAATAGATAATCCTGTTACTAATCTTGAAGGAGGTGGAACATGGGGTCTTGTAAAAGGACAGGTATTGTTATTTAATTTCACTTACTTTCATCTTTCTCTATGAATTATATTATACATATTTTTAATTATCATAGTTTACCGATGATACTTCAATGGCAATCTGTTTAGCTAATTCATTGATATCTCACAGCAAATTTAATCCTTACGATCAGCTAGTTCGTTATAAATGGTGGTTTAGATTAGGATATATGTCATCGACTGGAGAATGTTTCGATATTGGCGCAGCAACTAAACAGTCGATATTGGAATTTGAAAAACGTCAAAACGTATTTGCGAAACATAACAATCTAATTCAAAACGATATGGATGCACTTTCAGATCCAGATTTACTTAGTCAGTTTGATGTAAATTGTAGTCAAGCTGGAGTTGCTGGGAATGGAGCTCTTATGCGTCTTGCACCAGTACCTTTATTTTTCCATCGACATCCCTCAGCTGCTGTTGAATATTCAGGTATTAGTGGACAGATCACTCATGGTGATATTAAAGCTTATGATGCCTGTCGTTATTATGGTGCTCTAATCGTTGCTATTCTTCATGGATATGGGAAAGATCAAATACTTGATAAACAATTTTATCATGATCATAAAGCATGGTTTGGTGATAAGGAACTTTGTGATGAAATTAGAACAATTGCTGAAGGATCTTTTAAGAGAAAGGGTGGATACGATGATGGAATTCGTGGTAAAGGATATATTGTTGATGCTCTCGAAGCAGCATTATGGGCATTTTGGTCTGATAATAACTCATTTGAAAAAGGTGCACTTGCTGCTGTGAATCTCGGTGATGATACCGATACAACGGCTGCCATATATGGTCAGTTAGCTGGTGCTCATTATGGTTACAAAAATCTACCAAAACATTGGCGTAAACATGTATATGCTGAGAAATTTCTGTTAAATTTGAGTAAATGGATTGCATATGATGGAGCATTATGGCAACCATCAGAATATCTACATCGAATTAATTCATCACAAAATAAAGTTTCTGTTCCTGCATTTATACCAACTGAATCTCAAGAGGTGGCACAAAATAGTGGACGCCAACGTCGGAGAAAATATCATAATGCTCCTCAACCAGATCCTACATCACAATTTATCTTGCCATCGTCTCAGACCATGAATCAAGAATATATGTATCCAAATGATATGAATTCACCTATGAATAATCAATTTCAGCCGGATTCAGGCATTAATGCAGTGCCTCTGACGACATCAAGCACGATCAAATATATTACAACACTGAACCAAGAACCGATTCATTCACCTCAATCACGTAGCAAAAGATCATCAGAAAATAATAAACAGCAAATAACATCACGCACAACTTCCTCAATGTCTTCCACGAATAATAGATCAGATACAGATAGTGCAAATCAAAGATCATCAAATACATATAAAAACGGCTTGATTGTACCGTCTCAAAATGCTACTAGAACCGATGTTCAAACATCACAACCAATGTCGACTTCATATAAACCTATTTCACAAAATAAATTAATAAATGATCGGTCAAATGAGAATAATCTTGGAGTCGATAAATTGCAAAAGCGCGATTCCTCGAAAAGTAGACCGCGGTCAACTTACTTAGAGAATCATGCAATCCAAATAAATGATCGATCTTCGATGCCGATCAACGAATCGTCTCGCATAAGAAATACTGGTAGAACCTCACAGAACCAATTTGCTTATGATTCTCAAGGTGCTAATGATACATTCATTAACAAGAACTACTCAGCAACTGATAGGTCAACGAGAGAACAAGGACAAGGCAAGCTAGTTGACTCAATAACGATATCAGGACGACCATCAACGAATCGCAGTACTAATTATTTCTAAGAAGGATGATCCTCGTTACCGTTCGCGAAGCGCACATGAACTTTATCGATTAAAGCTAAAATTTCGAGACTTTTAATTTTCAAGCCTGTTATTTTTACTGATGAAAAGAAATTTAAGTGTCATATTAACTTTAAAATAAACGTAATAATTTCATTCTTAAATCAAAGTTCATGAATTCAGATATATTCCTACAGAATTTAATCGATTTGTTGATATATTTATTTTAATTTCCGTATCTATCTCCTAAATAGGATCTAACTAAGGTTCAGAATTTTAATAGCATATAAGATATAATATGAATACCAGCTGTTCTCTATAACTGCTTGAAATTTTCTTTATTTTTTCTTTAGATTCATCTACTAACTGATTTTTTTTTTATGTAAACTTATATAATTGTCATAAAATGAATTGTTATGTAAATAGCGAACGTTTATAAAGTCAATAATAGAATATTATAAGTTCAGATATAGTTAGACGAATGTATATTTCTCCTTACAATAAATGAAACTCGACTTATTAAAACTAATAATTAATATTTTTGATGAAACTAGATAAAAGAGACGATTTTTTTTTCGAGTCCAAAACTTTAATTCCAGAAAATTAAACAGTATATCAATCTTTCTATTCTATGAGAGGAAATCAATGGGATGGGATTTGAAAATCACATACAAGAATCTAACTAATTCAATTTGCGCGTATTTATAAACAACTCGAGTGGGGATGTAGAATGTGAATGAGAAGTAAATTGTAAACCGTTATTAGATCTAGATCGAGTTATATTTACTCATCAATTAATGAAGATTCTTGTAACTACATTAAAAGAACTCTTAATAGTTTCTCTTATTTTGTTTTTAATAAATTAATACAAAAAATAAATGCTATAATATTTAAAGATGCGAATGGAGATACGCATCGCTCGTTCATATATAATATGATATAATGTTAACATATGTATTGGTTTATTAAAGAAAAAAATTATACGCCTTATGAAAATGGACGCTATTAGAAAATTTATGAAACAGTGTTGATAGTATAAAACACTTAAATAAAATATATGTTTATATAAAAATTGATCGATAAACTTGGCTGTATTGTAATTAGCTTACATTCATCTACCTAAAGTTCTGCTTTAAACAATATATTTTTTTATAATCATTTTTGAAATACAGACAGTTATGTTATTTATAGGATCAAATAGATTTTATTTATCGAAAATAATTCATAATGAAAGAAATATTATATCAATATCTAGAGGTTTATCACAGGTATATTTATTGATCAGTCTTTTTTGATACCTAAAGAAATAAATTAAGAATAAAATAAAATGAATTATTATAATATCTAACTATTTGTGGATATTGTTGATGTTAAGTTTGGTCTTGGTTCTTTTGACATTTTAACACGTTCCATTGCCTCCATCATCCAATGCATACATCTATTCATCTTTAAACAATGAAAAAGAAAACAAATGTACTAATTCTATCAATAATTATTCGATTATATTTTACTTCTTCTGCATGAGTACGAAGATCTGCTACAACTTTTTTTACAGATGTCACTTCATCTGCAAGTAGTTTCGTATCCGACTGACTGTTATTTGATTGAAATTGTTGATTATTATTTGTCATATCCGAAGATAATTGTTGTTCTTTTGATGGTACAAGAGCTGCTATTGATAATGGTTGATTAGTAAGTAATGATCGTACATATTGATTAGTAGCATAACTTTCAAATTCTGACCATTCTCTATCAACATTTCGATTAGCTCCAATCATTTCTAATAAAAAATACAAACTATTAATATTTTAATCTTTAATAACATACTAAATGTTTTTGTTTGTGCTGTTTTTGAATGTCGTCTAGCAATGTATTTAATAAGTTCAATTCCGTGTGTTATAATTATTAATGGAGGAAAAAGTGGTGGTCGATCATAATATTCACGAATTAATGAATATCGTTCATAACGCCAAACAAGATCAGTTTGATTTTGAACGGATTGAAATGTAAAACTAGAAAATTTTTATTCATTAATACGTCGAAATTTCATTCTATTATTATTATACCTAAACATTGCAATAAGAAGATTAATGAGTAGAATATTCACGAATAACATATGAAAAGCTAAGAGAATATGAGTTGCAATAGACGCACTACTACCTTGTTCTCCTATGAAAATAATTATATAATATTTAATTGATATTAATAAATTTTGTATTTCGTTACTATCAAGATTAGCGAGTTCACCATCGATATTTCCATACATAAGATAATATGTTGGATAAGCAATATTTTGAAAAATTGATTGACCATCAAAAGGAAATGTTTCATTATTGAAATTATACATTGATCGTGAAACAACTCCATAAGCAATCATAGCAATTAAAATAATATATGTAAAGAAAAATAAATCGGTTACCTAAAATTAATTATTCGATAAAATTTAATATAAATATTAAATATCATAACATACCATTCTACGAATCATAACAAGTTTCGGTCCCAGATTTTGTGCAATACCTAGAAAAACGAATGAACGTATAAACCAAATTTCAAGATCATATGCTAGGACAATTTTTGCTGCAGAAAAAGCTTGTTCACTGTATGTATTTGTAAAACGAAGAATAAGACCAATATAGAAAAGAAGATAAGATAGAACAAGAATAACAGTATGAAATTGATTTGTTATAAAATAATTGGATAATTTTCCAATCATTGTTCGATTTTCTTGACAAAGAAACTAGAAGAAATTTTCATTAAATATGTTAGAAAATTTTTTCTAATTATATAGAATTTATATACTTGTCGAATTTCTTCAAAGAGCATTGTTGTAACCATAAGAATAACAAATATTTCTGTCCAATGTATACTCGGTATTTCATCCGTTGGTATTTCAAAATTAAATAAAAGATAATAAGAAAATAATAAAAGAAAAATAATATAACTAGCAGAATTATATGAATATTTAACAATAGGTGATTCATGAAAATGTTTCAAGTGACGAAGATATGTTAAATATGATTTGGAATATTTTGTTGATCGCCACATATAATTATCAGAATAATTTATACCATGATCATTTAATCTATATTAAAATATATAAAAGATTATAATAATAAACTTTAACTCTTTCGTTACAGAGTTTGTTTTCTCTGCATTGGAACTCAGTAAATTCTTAAACTAGCTATTTTTAGAGCGATAGGGACCAGTGACGGATTGAGATATGGGTGATGAAGCGACCGACATTGCCTTTTCGAAAATTGCAGTTTACGGCTGATAGGGACGTATGTACAAAGTAATTCATCTATTTTCTTGAGGGTGAGTGTGGGTTTGAGGGTCGAAGAAGCAGGGAATTGGAGATTGTAGACGGTGTCTGTAAGAAAAATACTACGGGTTTTTCCTAGAATACCCTGTTTAAATTGCTTTCAAGAGATCGTACACCGATTTCTGTGAATTTTACTATGAAAAAAGTAATAAAAAACAGGTGTTGCTTTCTTATACTATCCTAACGAAAAGATTAATAGAAATAATACTTACGAGGGAACCTCACCAACTGTTCAATCGCTTTTTTAATAAAAACCATTGGGTTAGAGGTTATCAACCATGCTGATTTTGAATATGAGTATGAGAAGTGCCCTTAGGAATTTACAGTATGGTCCTCTAGAAAACCGGTTTTCAAAAATCACATACTTTTTACTATCTAGACAGGCATAATCTTTGAAAAACGCGTTCAAACAGCGTAAATACGGTGTTTCAATAGCAGACCACAATAAAAACAGGTTTTTTAATTCGTTTTTACGCGTTTTTTAAAGATTATGCCTGTCTAGATAGTAAAAAGTATTTGATTTTTGAAAACCGGTTTTCTAGAGGACCATACTGTAAATCCCTAAGGGCACTTCTCACACTCATATTCATAATCAGCATGGTTGATAACCTCTAACTCAATGGTTTTTATTAAAAAAGCGATTGAACAGTTGGTGAGGTTCCCTCGTTAGTACAATATATTTCTCTCAATCGAATAATAATAATTTTTCTTCTTGTGAAGACAAGATTTTAATGAAGTTTGGAGTTGACTTAAATCCCAAATTTTTCTTTCTAGAAAAAAATGCTTATGCATAACTTAACTTCGAATTAAATATTATTAAAAACTCACGAAAACATGATTTTCTAAAGAAGAAAAAAGAGCAGTTGTATGAAATCATATCACGTACTTCATTCATATACTGTTCGCTTCATCAATATCGTATAGGAAAACTTTATTGAAAGTATTAAGACTACAGTTTATATCGAAATTTATCATTTTCCAAGTCATTCTACTCTATCAATAAGATTGTATTAAATATGTACATACCGTTTATTTGTTGTTGGTTTTAGTTGTTTTTTTTCTTCTTCTATTTCATTTATTTTAATTCCATTTATCTGTCTATCTTCTTCAAAAGTATAATTTAATAATGATTGTTCTGTTCGAAATGTGACTAAAAATGGTGCTAGTATACCAAATGTAGAAATTCCTAATATTAATTTAATTTTATCTGATAGTGTTGATTGAAATGGTTCCATTTTATCATACCAGATATTATTTAAAACTTGATCACAACATGGTTGTCCAATAAAATTTTTATCATCAGCATCAACCGCAACCTAAAACCAAAAAAAAACATTATTTTCTCTTTCTAAATTTAAATTCCATACTTGAAGACAAGTAACTCCACCGTATATATTAATACGTCGAATAGCTATTTCACATGCTTTTTCTTCATCAAAATTATAACAACATTTCAAACATTCATTTGCATATTCTTCAAATTGTGTAATTTGACAACATATAACATCTTTTGATTCATTATCAGAAGCATAATAAAAATATGAACGAAAAATTTTTGATGCTATTAATAATGCACATATACGTGTTTCCATATGATTTAAAAGAATTTTTGATAATTCAATACGATTTGTTAAAATTGACCAAAGATATAAATCACGATAAACAAGTTCTCGAACTTCTTTTTCAGCTTCTTCAGGATCTGGTATTTCGGATTCATTTTCATCATTATCTTTATATAAACAAGTTCGACTATCTGACACACGTGCCATATGTGAATTTCGACAACAAGTTTTTAATTTTTCAAAAGAACTAATAGTTGAACGTGTGTAAATTGGTTTCATATAATCACCAATTAATTTACGTAATACACGATCTAAATCATGTTCAGAATCAACTTGATTTTTTCCAAGACATTTTTCAAATAAATAAAGACGTTCTT